AGAGGCCACCAGGAAGGGCTTCACAGGAAGTTCTCCAGCAGAGGGGTGATGGAGCCAAGAGAGGGGGCACGGAACCAGGAGAGGGGGCACGGAACCAGGAGAGGGGAGACGGAACCGGCAGAGGGGGGATGGAGGCAGGAGAGGGGGATAGGGCCAGCAGAGGGGCAATAACAGTTTGATGGAGAGGAGGGGCACACTGAGGGTGAATAAGAGACAGAATCCACAGGGCTTCACGGGGGATTGGAGGCAGGAAATGAAGGTAACGGAGGAGCCTATGAAGATGCCCCATAGCCTCGTCTTGAGCCCCTGGAGGACCAGGTTTGGGGGGAGATGTTGAGTTTGATTTCTGACACATTACAGGGAGGGGCAGAAGAGGCAAGTCTCCAATTACCAGAGCTCAGGGGAGAGGTCTGGATGAAGGGAGAGCCTGACCCGCTTCTGTCAAGGGATGCCTGGACACTGGGGGGTGGAGCTTGTCGGCGTGGGGAGGGGAGAAGACTAGCTGGGTCTGGAGAGGGCTGTTAGGTCCTCTGCGCTCTCCTTTAGGCCCTGCAGGTCACTGCAGCTCCCTCAAGCTGGCACACACAGGGCAGCAGGACACTTAAGGGCCATCCAGTCAAGGCCCCCGGCCTCATAACCTCCTTTGTCCTGAGGTCTCCTTAGTCCATTTATCCATCCTGACCTTCAACCATCAAAGGCCAAAGATTTGGATTTTGGAAACTTCCCATTTGCTGTCTGCTTGCCGAGGCAGCCAGAGCTTCAAGAGGCCCATCCAGACCTGGGCTTGGAGCAACTGACCCCTGAAGTCAGGACTGAGCCCCTTAGAAGGGATGCAGCAGTCCCCGGGGCCTGAGACGCAGGCCCACGCGCCAGGCCTGCCTCTCGATAGCATGTGGGAAGCAGGAATCATGGGGACTCAACCCCACTGGCTGACCTGAGGTTGGGAGCATCAGCCCCAGGAATGTGACTTTCTTTCAAGCAAAATGAAGGAGATTCCTACGGGGGAGGAGGGGGTTGGCCGGGGAGCCGAGGAACCCTGGAAAAGCTCTTACCCCAGCTGGGGCCTCTGAGTTGCTCTGAGTTCCTTCCCAAACCTCTGCCCCTGAGCCTTCAGGCCATCAGTTGGCTGCTCTGCAGAATTCATACATCAGATACTTTTTGAATGACTTCCAGGTGACAGGTGTTATCCATTATGTGCTGCACACACAGCAGGTAAGAGGATCCAGCCCTCATGGGGCTCATATTCCAATGAAGAGAGAATAGGCGTCATACCACTTACCCCGCTTACCCAGAAGCCCCTGAGGTCTTGTCCAGCCGCCTCATGTTCCAGAGAAGCAAACCTAGAAGGGGAAGGGACCTGCCCAGGGTCATATAGCAAGTCCCGGAACCCAGGCATCCTGGGTGCTACCCAGCAGGGCTCCCATCACCCCAGGCTGCTCAGAGGAGTTAAAGTAGGTAAAAGCGCCTCTAGGTCAGCATTTTTCATCTTGTAATTGGAGGAAAGAGGTAGAGGCTTGAAAGCCTTGGCTGCAGTTGCTGGCTCTCTCCTTTAGCCAAGGACCCTGGCAAGAGGCTATTGGCCCCAGAGTCTAGGGTCCCTGCCCCCTCCCATCACTGACAGTGGGGACCAGGAGGGGCCAGGAGGTGATGAAAGACATGGGCTGGCTAGGAGGCAGAGACAAGCCTTAGAGGGAGTCCCAGACTCCTGGGCCACCACACGAGGCTGGGGCTGAGCCTGGGTCTCTTTCAGCCACTGGCAGGAATGTCACAGGCCAGTTCCTGAGAAGCCTCTGTTTCAGCCCTGAGAGCTGATCTCTGTAGCTGTTAGCAGGAGAGACCATTAGCAGCATTTTTTCCCCGCTATTGAATTTTTACAGCCCACAGCTCCTCTGAATAGCGTTGTCCCCATTAAGTCAGATGTTTTGCCAAAAAAAAAGGGAGGGGGGAGAAGAGAATCGTAATCATAACCATAAATCATAAGTCACGTTACTGTGAGTGGATGGCTTCCTGGGCTCTGTGAGTCGGAGGCAGTGTGTGAGAAAGCTTACTGTAATGAGGCAGCAGGGGAGGACAGGTCTTCCCAGGGGGTGTCCGCCCCCAACCTGATCTTTCACACAGCCTTGCTTCCGGGTGACTTCTGCCTCAGGGAGGGGCAGCACCTTTATTGGAACACTGGGGGAGGTGGGGGGCAGGGGTGGAAACAGGGGAAAGTGTATCGCAAGAGGAGAATGATGTTTGTCACCCCAAACGCTGCCTGGTGAGTCTATGAAGAGGTGGGGTGCTGTCCAGGATCCCCCTGCCTGGGTTTCCACAGAGCTCGGAGTCTTAGGTCAGGATGCCGTCACATGCCTGTGGGTACCAAGAAGGCCTGTGTGTTCTCATGACCCATCATGCTCGCTTAGGAGCCAGGATCCTTTATGGATGAGAGAACTCTTATGGGCATGCATGGGGGGTCCCAGGCTCTGCAGCGGCACCTCTGTGATCCAACAAGCCCTCCTCTGAGCATAAACAAATCAACTGCAGGAGGACTTAGGCAAACTCAAAGAGGAGAATTTAAAAGAAGGCTCTGGATAAACATAAAGTGCTGTAGCACTTGGGAGAAGGCTTGAGCTCTGAGGAAGGGGAGGAAAAGGGTAGTTATATGTTTATGAGCAAGTGGCAGGTCTTACTACTCAGACTTCCGGAAGAGGAAATGGGAGCAGAGAGGTTCAGGGACTTGCCCCAGGCCACACAGCAGCCTCAGGCCCAGAGGCTCTTTATTCATGCAGTCGGGGACCATTCATCTTAGTGGCTTAGTCAGCAAGATGTACTGAGTACTGCTAGGGTTTAGGCCTTGACCTGGGGACATAGAGATACATCCCTGCCCCCAGAAGTTCATGGAACAGCAAGGGAGAACAGCACAATAGTAATTATTATGTGGCATAAAGAAATCCATGGTTAATTTTAGATTTATTGCCAGGGTTCACTCCCTCAGGGATTTTTGACATAGCAGAAAAAAAATGCTGTATCAGAGGCAGGAAGGAAGATTCTGGGGACAATAGTGGGAGAGATGGTCTGGTGTGTGGGGCTGTTAGGGTGAGGCGAGGGAAGTGGTGGTGGAGCGGGAACTAAGGAGACCCTCCTCTTAATCATGCTTCAGCTTGATCTTGAAAGAGAAATGAGAGTTTACCCGGAACAGAGAACTTGGAAGGGCGCTCCCGGTGGAGGAGAAAGTCTGTGCACAGGCCCGGGGGTGGGAAAGCAGGGCACATGCCTAATTGCAGAATTCCTGGTGGCTGCCCTGTGGGGTAGTCAGGAGGCGGCAGGGGGAGGTCGGCAGAGGCCAGGCTGGGAAGGGTTTTGATTCCAAGGAGTCTGGACTTTATCCCATAGGCAGTGAAGAAGCAGAGACAGATTCTAGGAAGAAACGAGGTAGGCATTCTAGAAAGATCCCTCCCACTGTAGTGAGGCTGATGGTGGCAGGAGGCTTTGGCTGTGTCCAAGCAAGAGGGAATGAGGAAGAGGCTAATAGGACACTGGCAGTGGCGATGGAAGATTTCACAGAGACATTTTGATGGAATGAATTGACAGGACTTTGGGAGGTGAGGAAGGTAGGTTTCCAGCTGCCTCTGAGGTTCCAGCTTAGAGAGGACCCAGGTGGGTGGTGACAGTGTTAGCTTTTGAGCTTCCTGACCTCTGGCCTGGTCCTCCATCGCTGAACCTCTGTCTCTGTGTCTGTGTCTGTCTCTGATTAGGAAACCAGAATTATATAAAGATGCCAGGTTGGGGACCAGTACATGCAGGTTCCAACTCCAGCTTCTCCATTAGCAGCTCTGCAACCCCAGACAAGTCACTTCCCCTCTCTGAGCTTCTGGGCTCAGTTTCCTTATCTGGAAATGGGAAAACCTGGAGGCAGGGCTGACTTGAGGATCACTAACTGTGTGCTTATTTCAGGGGTCCCAGCAGGAGACAGGGGTCTCACTCAAATTGGGTAACTGGAGGAGACTTTAATAATAAAGGGACTGTTCACGAAGATCTGGGTGGGATGCAGGGAAATCTCAAGGGACAGTTCGGTGCCCTGGGTGACAGTGGTTCCAGTTACCACCCCCAGGTCTGTGTGGGGAGGGCCACCTGGCAGGAGCTGTGACCTTCAGCTTAGGAATGCAGCCGGCCCCTCTTCCGCATCCGGCAGTCTGCGCCCCCAAGAGATTGCATGTGTGTCTCCTCTTGAGTGTGAGGGACGCGGTGGGCAGCTCTAGCCAGCAATCAGCTTATGTGAAGGTCAGCGTGGATTCACAGTCTTGACCCCTGCCTCCCCACCCAGACCAAATCAGACAGAGAAGCCAAGGCAAGCTGCTGATGCCAAACCCAATTTATTCGAAGCTCTGAGCACCAGGACCTGAAAGTACCTTTACTCTTCCTACGTTCTGTCTCCCTCTACCCCCTTTCCTTCCCTCCACCTCTTTGCCTCCCGCCCTTCTTCCTCCTCTTTTGTCCTGCTCTCTCCTCTCTCTGCCCTTCTCTCCCAGTCCCCCTCCTTTGACCTCGCCTAATAGCCAAGACCTCAAAAGAACCACTCTCCAGTCAGAATTGCTCTTGCTTTTTTGTTCGTTTCTTTGTTTCATTATTCATTTTTCTTTACATTTCAAGGAACTTGATAGATCCATTACAGAGTGTTTCGTTTACTAGATGGATTTATTGCCCTCGCTTTTTTTTAAAATAAATTTATTTTTGGCTGCGTTGGGTCTTCGTTGCTGCGAGCGGGAGCTATTCTTCGTGGCGGCGCACGGGTTTCTCATTGCAGCGGCTTCTCTTGTTGCAGAGGATGGGCTCTAGGTGCACAGGCTTCAGTAGTTGTGTCACGCGGTCTCAGTAGTTGTGGCTCGCGGGCTGTAGAGCGCAGGCTCAGTAGTTGTGGCGTGCGGGCTTAATTGTTCTGCGGCATGTGGGGTCTTCCCGCACCAGGGATCGAACCTGTGTCCCCTGTATTGGCAGGCGGATTCTTAACCGCTGCACCACCAGGGTCGTCCCTTGCCCTCACTTTTAACTCAACATTTGTGGGCTTTGGCCCCAAGGGAGGAAGGTGTGCAGTTGGTACTGTACTGGGGCCCCACAAGCTCTGGGAACCATGTCTAACAAATAGAGGCTCCTAGGACCTCTTGGGGGTGGAAAGGCTTAGCATTTCATTCGTACCTGTAGTACAGCATGGGCACCTGCCTCCCCACGGCCTGGGCCATCCAGTGGGATGGTGGTGGGACTCAGGGATGGAGCAGCTTCTCTGTGTGTGCTGGGGGAATGTGAGCTCAGCCAGAACAGAGGCACTATTTCAGGTGGCCAAGGAAGAAGGACAGGGAAAGATAGGAACGAACCAGATGGAACCTAACATGTCCTAGGCACTGGGGAAGGGCTTTCCTATCCTTTATAGCTCACATTGGCCCTATCCCCACTTTATAGATATTCTCTCCATTTTATAGGTGAGGAGAGCAATGTCAAGGGCCGGCTGAAGGCCTGTGTCTGTGATAAGCCTTGCGAGGAATAGGGAACACGTAGAGTACAGGTCAGCAACTTTATTAGTCGGCATCTACCACGTGCCAGGAACCAGGCTGTGATGAGGAAGACCGTTCTTGTCTCATATAATTCCAGAAGGGAGCAGATGAAGCTGGTGGTTAGAACCCTGGGATGTCAGGGCTGGAAATTTCTCAGGCACCTTCTAGAAGCCCAACTTCACCGAACAGATGAGCAACTGAGGCCCACAGACAAAAAGCGGCTTCCCCAAGCCACATGGCAAGTCTTCTTCCTTTGCCTCTCAATGTTGCTTCTCTAGGAAGTCTGCTCTCCTTCTAGGCTCCCCTGTTTAGAAGTTGATTTTTATTCTCCCACTTAAACAATTAAGCTTTAATACACCAAAAACAGATCACTATCCTCCTAAGGTTTAAAAAGCAAGATTACTCTTTGTAACACGAGCAATTAGCTACCTTCTGGTGTTTCCATACTTCTCTCTCCCCCAAAGGATTGAGATTTGGGGGGTTGCAGAAGACCCAGCAAGTAGGGATGCCGGCCGAAGCTGCTGCCCTGAGCAGGCAACGGGGATGCTAGGGTCTTGGAGCTGGAAATGCTCCAGGAGGGGAGGGAAGGGTCCTGAGGCTGGTGGTGGGAGACCGTGCAGATGTGGAGAGCTCCTCTTTAGGGGTGCCGACTTGGCTCTGCCAGCACTGGAACGTTCCCTTCAATGCTGCTGCCTGAGCTGCATCACTGCACTGGTGGAGTAAGGATGGCTACCCACCTCCCGGGATGACGGTTGTGTGAATCAGCTGTAGCAGCATATGTGAGCTCTTCCTACAGAGGACCTCGAAGGGCTCTCTGAGCCCTCTGCACTGAGATGGAACACTTGGATGTTTTTTCATAGTTCTGGAAAAAGGATCCCTACATTTCATCAGATCTTTTTTTTTTTTTAATGGCAGAAAGAAGGAAGATTGATTTTTATGTTTATTCGGTGATGAAATATACACAAAGAGGAATATACAAAGTGTACCCTATAATGGAAAGAATAATGGAACGACTGTTGTGTACCAATCCTCTCCTTTGAGAAACACTGTGAGTATCCTAGACGCCCCCGGTGAGCCCTGCGTTAACAGTACCACCTTCCTCCCCCAGGAGGTAACTACTGTCCTGATTTTTTTAAAAAATTATCATTCCCCGGCTTTCTCTATAGTTTTCCCACCTATGAACCTATTCCTACAATATCTTGTTTGGTCTTGCCTGTCTTTGAACTTTGAAGGTGAATATTCGGACTTGCGTCCCGAGGGCCACGTGACATTGTTTCTGAGATCCTTGAGGTCGTGTGTGAACCTGGACGTTTGCTCCCTTGCTCTGTTGTCTTGCATTGCGTAACTCAGCCACAGCTCACCGGTTTCTGGAAAAGAGGGATAGTTCCAGGATTTGACTTTTATGAATAATGTTCTGTGGACATTGTCTTACACGCATGCAGGAGTCTGTGTAAGGAAAGTAACTGGGAAGGGATTGTTGGGTCATGGGGTGTATGTACATTCGGCTTTAGCAGACTGTGCCGGATTCTTTTCCAGAGTGTTTTTCCAATTTACGTTCCCCTCAGCGGTGGGTGAGAGTTCCGTTTCCTCCACATCTCACTGTTGTCCTTATCGTCAGGCATTTTGATTTTTGCCAATCTGGTGTGTGTGTGTGTGTGTGTGTGTGTGTGTATTGGTAATGTTATTTAATTTGTATTTCTTCAATGATCAGTAAGAGTGAGCACTTTTTGTATGTTTATTGGCCATCCAGGTTTCCTTTCTGTAAAGCACAGTTCCGGTCTATTACCCATTTTTCTATTGAGTTGTATGGTTTTTTTTTAATGATTGATTCATATCGGACTTTTGGTTTGTTCTTGTATTAATATATTCTAGACACCAATCCTTTGCAGTTGTATGAGTTGCAACTATCTTCTCATACCATGGCTTTCCTTTCGAGTTTATTCATCGTGGTTTCAAAGGGTCCATGACCCCGGGGGAGGTTGAGAACCACTCATATAAGAGGTTCTATAAACAGGAGACCCATGAGTCAGAAAACCTCAAACTTTTGTTAAGCTTAATGGTATTACAACAAATTGAACCAGAAATGAAGAATGTCAAGTTCAAAGCCAAGGTGTACAGCTTCCTTGGAAGGACCAGGCTCTCTGGGCCTGCAGCTCCTGCATCGTGGGGGAGGCCAGCTGGACACAGGGCAAGTGCTCACTTCACCCCAGATCCTACTGCTTCCACACATTGAGGCTCCTTGGGCTGTGCTGGTGCTTTCCTCCCGCCCACCTGATTTAGTTGTGCATGTTGCCTCTAGGCATTTGCATGACGTTAGCATACTGACCCTCTGCATCTCATCCTGCTATGCAGAGCTCCATCTACCCCTGTGGTTGTCCGAATTCCCCTTGTCGTGTGAACACTTCCAGTAGGGCTGACCTCTTGGGGCGGTCCTCAGTCACTGAGTCCTGAGTAAGAGGAAATTTCACCATATCTTCTGAGCGGGTCTGATGGAGACCTGTGAGGACCTGGCTCCTGAAAGAGCACAGAGAGGAAAGGAGATGCCCAGAATCGGGCCCTGAAAGCACCTCTGCTATGGTAAGTGCTTGGAGATGCCATTTACTGGTGATGACCGGTAACTCAGACAGATGTGAGCATTGGCTTGTCTTCAGAGACAGCCCATCCCCTTGATCTCCAGAAGAAGGAGAAGAGAGAGCTATAGCCAGAGATAGCCGGTTTCCTGAATATCTAGGGACAGCTTAATTTGCATCTCATTTACATCCATTAGCGTGCTGAAGCTTAAGGTCCAAACCCTGGGTGTCTGAGATAAAATAAAATCATACAACCTGCTACAAGTGGATTCATACCCAATATGGGAGGTTTGACTAGCCTGAAGCCAAGTGGGCTCTCTTCTGCAGCTCATTTCTTGAGCACTTACTATATACCAGCTGCCGTGCTAGGAGCTCTCCATGCATTGTCTTATTTTAGCTTTCACACAATTCCACGTGCTGTAGCTACTCAGCCCTCTTGTTCAGATGCAGAAGTGGAAACTTGCCCAGGTGACCTAGTGCGGTGGCATAACACGGTGGTTACCCACTCACTCACTGGAGTCAGACAGACCGGCCTTGGGATCCCAGCTCTGGCCCTTGTCGTCTGGGTGTTCTTGGACAGGTTACTTACCGTTTCAAGGGTATCAGCCTCCCCATTGATAAAATGGGAATACTAACGTAGTTATTCCTGAAGTTTTGGGTGAGGATGTGATGAACCATGTGGTAAACACAGCTCGGGGCTCCCACAGGACTGTGATGAGAGAGAGAGAGGATTTAGTCAGTCTAATTCTTGCTTCTCTGGGGTCCGCCATGCCTCTCACGAAAGCACCGTTTTTCCCGTTAGCCACAGGTCATTAAAGGCCGGTTTCCTGCCCTAACCTGCCAGATGCCCACGTCTCCTCACCCCTCTGCAGTGTCCCATTGCCCCGGCAAGGACACGCAGGTGGCTGTGGGCTGGGCGGGCTCATGTGTCCATTGCATAGAGATGCCACTTGTGGGAGGAGTGGGGACTCTTCTCCCTGATGTTAGTCACCGCCTGTCCTCATGGCAGAAACGCTGGAACAGGAATAAACAGTCAAGCTTCCCTCGGCATTTTGCATGATCTTTTCCCTCCTCTTTGCAAGCTGCTGTCCCATCAGCCTGAGGCCATCAGTGAAGACGTGGCTGCCCATTTTCCTATGAACAGTCAGAGTGTTTAGGACCTGCACGATGTGGCGATGATGCAGCACTTCCTGAGTGGTCCCAGACAAATCTAGAAACCGGTCACAGGAAAGCCCTCTCTGGCCTCTTCTGCTCTGCTTCCAAGTCTGACCCACCCACTCTGGATGGCTGGGTTCATTTTAGCCCCCTGAACCCCTGAACCACCTCTCCCAGGAGAGGTGAGAGTGGACTTTGGGGGTCAGACCCCCTGGACCTGAACCCTTGTTCTGCCATTCACTAGCTGTGTGTCCTTGGGAAAGTTACCGCACTTCTCTGTGCTTACATCGTTATCTGTAAAAACAGAGATACTAATATACATAGCAGGTGGTTGTGTGCATTAAACAAATACGTGGATGTGCTGAGAACAAGGCCCTGCATGGAGTGAGTGCCCGTGACAGTGATTACTATTGTTAGGGTGCAGGGTGTGCAAGAAGCATGGCCTTTACCTGGGTTCAAATCCTGGTGCCTCCACTAAGGTGCCTGTGACCTTAGGTGTCTCTCTGAACCTCATCGGAGCCTCCTTTGGGTTGCCTACCTTGGAGCGTGGTTGCAAGACCAACTTTGTGGGTGTGGGACTTGTGCAGTCACATGGGGCCCTGTGCTTGCTCTAATGCTCTGTCCTCACCATCTTGGAGTCTCTCCTAAGTCTTGAGCAGGGACCTCTCCTTTTCATTCAGCTCTGGGCCCTGCAAATCATGCCTCACGTTCCTCCTCTCCCATCTCGTGCCTTGCCCTGTTCTGGATTGGGCACCAGGGCCCATTACTGGTCCATTAGGGGCCACCCATGTGCAGAATTCAGGGGGCTCCCCAGCAGGCCTGGGTCCTCCCTGGGTTCACCAGGTTTTGGCTCCCAAGGACACAAGGGGGTTTGCTCCCGTGGGTGACACGTGGATCTGTTTTCAGTGGAAACTTTTTGCTTTGGGATTCTGACCTTGGAGTGTGTTGATTTAAGCTATTTGCTGCTGTGGAACTGACCATATATTTTCTGTATATTAGGTGATTTCAAGAAAAAAAAATCAATTTTAATAGCACCAGTCAAAGCTGTAGAACCCTGCAACTGGTACCAGAGTCCTACTTTACACCTGGGTTTATAGGACAGGAAGGCAAAGAGCCAGGAGTCCCCCAGCTCACTGCTGTGTCCCCAGCACCAGAGAGCGGGAGTGAGGCAATGTGGGGTGGAGGGGAAATAGTGGGTGGGGCCTCGTCAGAGCAGGCAGAAGTCCTCCCTGACAGCAGCTCCTTAGATCTATACATGTTGTGTAACAGCCGTTTAATCTTTAAGCCGGAACATATTCTTTAATGATAATTATTAATTGTTTAATAGTTAATTCATTCTCATGGTTGAAAACCCATAAGGCACAAAAGATATAGAGTGAAAAGTCTCCCTCTACTCTTGTTTTCCTTCCTGGAGGCAACCAATGTTTTCAGCCTCTTGGGTACTTCTAAGAGATAGTCTGTTTTCATTCCAGAAGAGGATATATTTATATTTTATACTTGTATATTTATTTTCATACACTTCCCCCTCTCTAATGTCAATACAAATGGTCACGTGCAGTGCCCACTGTGTGTGCCTTGTTTGTTCACAGTAAGCCTTGGAAACAGTTCCTTATCCATCCATACAGCGTCTCCTTGTTCTTTGATATAGTTACACCATCTGTTATAAAGAGGCCCCGAATTCACTTAACCAGTCCCCTAGCGATGGATGTGCAGGTTGTTTCCATTCTTTATAGGCCTGAGTCTTTCACAAATTCTGTTCCCCCTCACCTGGCTATTGACAGCACTTGTTTAAAGGGGCCAATGGTATCGTTCTCTTGCAAACCCTGCCCCGTCATCCAGCTTTCCCTACACACCATCAGTTATAGCTCCAACTGATTGCCAGATACATTTCTGGAAGACACAAGCCCTCTTCCCTTCCTTGTTCTCTTCTGTTCATCCTTCCCCTCTTCCAGAAAACCTCTCCCTTAACTGCCACATCCACTACCTCAATTTTGTTCCCATAACACCCCCCCGGCCCACCTCTCTCCTCCACCACGGCCACTTCCTGAGTCCAAAGCCCCACACTGTTGAGCTTGGACCATTGCAGTAACCTCCTTTCTTGCTGATGGAAGCCACAGAGGGTCACTCCTCTACCTAAAGCCCTTCCATGGCTGCTTGGTACTCAGCAGATAAAACCCCAAATCCTCATGCTGCCCTGCCCCATCTCCTGCCACACTCCCCCATTTATTATCCACAACTCACACATGGAGCTCTTTCCTGACCCTGAGCATTTGTACATACTGTGCCTTCTGCCTAGAGCACCATTCCCACCCCAGACACCCTCCTTCACCTCCCCGATGCCCATTCCCTTGAAGTCTTGGCCCAAATGGCACTTCCTCAGGGAGGCCTGCCCTGACATCCCACTGAAAAGCCGTCATCAGCCACGGTGTTCTAGTCCCATGTCTCGTTTGTTTCCTTACATCATTCATCAGTGTGTGTAATTATATATTGGCTTGTGTGTGTGTTTGTTTAATGTCTGTTTTCCCCACTAGAATATAAGCTGCCTGAGGGCAGAGGTGTATGTTTTCTTCACGACTGTGCCTCTTATCCTTAGTACAGGGCCTCATCAGTGTTTGTCGAATGAGTGCACATTTCTGAGCGCTTGTTCTTTACCAGGCCTTGCACTCAGTACTGGACATTCGAAGTTTAGTAATTGAAAGTTGGAAATTGATTATTAATACTAAAAAGAAACCAGAGGGATGTGCACCTTCCTGGTAATATGACCCAGTGAGGAAGAGCTAACTGTACCCCAGAGGAAGTCTGGAAGGATGAGGGGCATTTCACCAGCAAGGAAGAAGGGAAAGGGCATTCCAGTGGAGCATACAGCTTGAGCAAAGGCCTAGAGCCTTTAATGTTCACAGCCTGTTTGGAGAAAGTGTGTGGACCCTGTGAAACCAGGACACACGTGTGTCGTGAGACTGGTCAAGGTGAATTAGGCCCTACTAGGATGGATGGGTCAAGGAGTTTGAAGATTTTTGTTGTTTTCTATTTCTTTGTATCCCTACCCTTCCTTTTATCCTGGACGTATGGTTGAAGTTCAATGAAAACTACTAGATGTAAACTGGTAATACTGGATGTTAGCTCTGTTTTATAGATGGGAAACCAATGGTACCAGATTCAGAAATTTCTTTTTCTTTTCTGTCATATTTATTGGAAGTTCCTTTTATTACTTAGAGGAAGCTAAGCTGCTATGACAAAGAAACTCTCTCCCGTCCCCCCCGCCCCAAAACCCAGTACCATAAAGAACGAAGAAATTTCTTTCTCTTTCTTTTGGTAAAGCTTTGGGCGGGTAGATCACCGTACTCAGTCGTTGGGACACTCAGATTCCTTCTATCTTGTTTCCCCACCATTCCCTAGGGTTGCGTACATTTTCATGGGTGAGGCTGGGTGTCAGCCATGTCCTGGTTGATACTGGGGGGGCAGGGGGAGGAGATCGAGGAGGAGGTGGGCCTATTGTCTTAAAGGCTCTGCCTCAGATGAAGCACACATCACTTTGGCTGATATCCCATTGGCAAGAATTGACCTTACTGCAAAAAGGGCCAAGAAGGGTAGTCTAGCTGGGTGACAAGGTGCCCACCTATGATTCTACTGCTCTGAAGGAAGCAAGAATGGAATCTAGTGGAAAGCTAGCAGAGGGACCTGCTGCAGGAAACTCCAGTTCACCGGGAGCAGGCGGCTGGAGGCTTGGCTGGTGAGTGACCCCAGGTCCTTCGTGCTTTCATCATTCAGGGAGTGTAGCCACGAGCTCTGGCCCTGTCCCTGGCTGCCAGGAAGAGGCTGCTGGGGTTCCCCTGACCTCAGTCTGCTCCTTTTTCCGAACGATGCTGTCAGTGGTCGGTCCTCTCCTCAGCCCCTCTCGTGCCTGACCACTCATCCCTGGCTGGTGATGACTCTGGACCAGACCTGGACCTTGGCCCTACTACTCCCTAAAGAGCCGCGAGCAGCAAGTAAGCATAGGGGTCCATATTCTAAGGGCTCACTGGGACTATGTAACAGGAGAAACTTTTAAGCACTTGAGAAGCACCTTTTGAGATATAGGAATGAGTCATTCATTTCAAATTATTATTATCCAGTGATTAACATAGACCCCTGGACTGAGTGTTCGTGCCCCCCTGCAAATTCATAGATTGAATCCTAATGCCCATCCTGATGGCATTAGGAGGTAGGCCTTTAGGGATTAGTGCCCTTGTAAATGAGACGCAGAAGAGATCCCTTGCCCCCTCCCCGCTGTGAGTTTAAAGCTAGAAGGCACCGTCTATGAACCAGGATGCGGGCCCTCACCAGAGGCTGAACCTGCCAGCATCTTGAGCCTGGACCTCCCAGCCTCCAAAACTGTCAGAAATAAACTTCTGTTACTTGTAAGCCCCCCAGTCTGTGGTGTTCTGTAATAGCAGCCCGAAGGGGCTAAGAAAGCCCCCGAAGACTCTCCTTGCCAATACTGCCGTAGCCCAACCGGGGTCACTGTTTGTACCTGAAAGTAATACAACTGCATTTAAAAGTTCTGTAATATAAATCCAAATTGGACTTTTATTACAAACAGTATAACTCTTCATTCATATTAAAAATTAATAATAGCTAATATTTGTTGAGCGCTTACTGCATCAGGCACCATTTAGCACCTTATACGATAGGGCAACCTCTCACTTCGTCCTTACCACTCCCGAGGGGAATACTGTGATTGGCCCTGTTTTCAGATGAGGTTTAGGGAGGAGGTGACTTGGTCAAGGCCATGCAGTTAGCACAGAGTAAAGCTAAAGTTTGATCCCAAAGCTGCCCCACTGCAGAACCTTAGCTCCTAAGAAGCCACTACCCTGAGCATCGTGGGAATAACTTGCCCTGAATATCTACAAGGTGCTAACTGGCTCCTTGGCCCTCGAAGCCACCCCCCACCCCAGTTTGTCTCTATCCGCTTTTCAGTTGAAGAGATGGAGGTACAGGAGGTCAAGTACGCACAATAGGGCGTCCTTCTTGCTGGCCTTCCGTTCCTGCAGAGAACGCGGGCTTCCCGCCTTGCAGGATGCCTCTCCCATGTGGGTGGTCAGCTTTCTCAGAGGCTTGGAATGTTCCACATCGCTAAGAAGGGAACCACTGGCCACTCTCCTCCCCGAGGAAAGCCAGCAAGCCCTGCCACCCCACGGAGATGCCAGCAAATGCTTCTCCCTTCCAGCCCCTCCACATGTCCACTGCCACCTACCTTGTCACTCTCCCGTCCTCTTGCGGGTCCAGGGCCGAAGCCTTCTTCCTCATCCCCTCCCCTTTCACACCCCTCCTTGCTCTTCTTCCTCTTCCAGTGGCCCCTGATCTTTCTAAAATGTTAGCAAACCTGCTAGTGTCACCTTCTGCCTAGAAACCTTTCATGTTCCCATTCCCTGCAGAGCAAAGCTGCTACCTGGCACCCGAGGCTCTGCACGACCTGGCTTTGCCTCCTTTCCAGGCTTCTGCACGTTACCTCCTCTGCCACCCCCTTCCCCTACCCAGGGGGTGCTCCCCCCAGCTGCAAATATAAAGAGAGGAGGCAGAGGGAGGTCCCGTGGGCAAATAAACTTGGAAGATTCTGTATTCGCTACGCCTTCCTGGAAATGAACCCAATCTTCCCCATATGTATCTGACCAGGGAGGATCTTAACATCCCGCAGATCAGCCCCTTTGAACGTGCTCCTGTAGCCAGATGGGCCCTCCCTACCCTGTACTTGCCTACCTCCCTGTTCTCCCTCCCCTAATTCCCAGCCCCTGCCCAAACACCCTCTCTCACTCCCTCTCCCTAGTGAAACTTCTCAAGGCCCAACTCAAAAGCCACACTCCCCATGAAATTGTCCTGATTTTACCCCCGCTGAAGGGCTTTTCTCAACCTCAGCACTCGACTTAGGCTTCTCCCTGACCTTCAACTGTAAAGCCAGCCAGGCTGTGTGGTCACATGTGGTCTGTTCTTGTCTCTTCCTTGAACCATGTGTTTCTTTCTTTCTGATTGAAGTATAGTTGATTTACAATGTTGTGTTAGTTTCAGGTGTACAGCAAAGTGAATCAGTTATATATACACATATATATGTGTATATAACTTTTTCCAATTCTTTCCCATTATAGGTTATTACAAGATTTTGAATATAGTTTCCTGTGCTATATAGTAGGTCCTTGTTGCTTATCTATTTTATATACAGTAGTGTGTATCCCAAGCTCCTAATTTATCAAACCATGAGTTTCTTTTTTTTTTTTTTTTTTCCTGTACGTGGGCCTCTCACCGTTGTGGCCTCTCCTGTTGCGGAGCACAGGCTCCAGACGCGCAGGCCCAGCGGCCATGGCTCACGGGCCCAGCCGCTTCGTGGAATGTGGGATCTTCCCGGACCGGGGCACGAACCCACGTCCCCCGCATCGGCAGGCGGACTCTCAACCACTGCGCCACCAGGGAAGGCCTCGAACCATGAGTTTCTTAAGGCAACGGTCTGAATCTTAGTCCCCTTTCCGTTTCTCATACAGGGCCTGGCACGTCACTGGTGCTCAACAAACATTCCTTGAAGCAGAAGTGAAAAAGTAGATGCAACCTGTGAAGGGATAAGACCGTGCTTTCCTCAGCCCAGCCTCAGCCCTGGTTCCCATGGCAACCACCTCCTTAGGCCCAGGATGGCCTGACCTGAGTCTCTGAGCATGATGGACAGGCCAAGAGGCTTCCCTGGCGGCTCAGGAGCAGGAAATGGGGACTCCATCTGTTACCATGACAGGCTCTGCATGTCCCATCAGGTGTCCCTTGGAGAAACACATCGTCTGTCATCTGCAGAGTGACAGTAATGAAGGACCCAGGATAAGGCGTCCTAGCTTGTAGCAGGCTGCCTCCATCCTTTCCTGAGCTACGAAGTGGCTGCATTTTTGTGAAGGACCAGAGGATTGTGTTATGGGGGCCACCACAGGCACGTGCTAGACCCAGATCCCAAGCCCTGGGCTTTGCGGGGCCAGAGGGCAGTGGGAATGAGAGAAGTGGGCAGGGCAGAGTTCCTGGTCAGCCGGGAGAGCCCTGCCCTGCCTGGAGGGGGCGCCATGCTCAGCACCAGCCAGTGTAGCCCTGTGGGAACAGGCACCCGAGAGAGCCAGAGCTTCCAATTTGTACGTGAATCTCCTGATTTTGAAAAATTGGTTCCAAAATTTTTAACATAGGCGAGAGCCATATATCAGTCATGGGTGAAATAAACAGCGTTGAATGTCAGGGTCACACCTTCGAGTTTCTTTCTTACCAGCGTGTCAGAGTTGGGTGCATGTCGCTCGGGCTGGGAGTGATGCTAGGGATATAGCAGCCATACGTTAGCGCTACGCGACGGGCTCATCTTAGAGGCACGTGGTGAGTGCCACCACGTCACATGAATGTCTCAGGGTCAGATGTCAGCTCACATGGAGGTGCAAGGAGAATGCCCCTCGGGCCTGCCTGAAGCCAGCCGCTCGCCTGGCTCTCTGCACCCCTCACAGATGGTACCCTCTCCCTCTCGGAGCCTGTCCAGGTGGAGCTGTGGAAGCTCCCACTTTGTCCCTCCAGCCCATGGGGTTGGGGGCCCAAAGCACATCCTGCGTCCTAGCCCAGGGTATGAAGGCGTACAGCTCTCAGCCGGGGACTGCAGCACAGACTCACCAGGCTCCTGCCCACCGCAGAGCCCTCCCACACTCAGCCGCCCCGCCTGCCACGGCCACGCGTGACCGCGGTCCCGCTCCCTGGAGAAGATGAAGATGCCCGACACAGCCTGCTCCTCCAGCCGGCCAAGGAGGGGCCCAGACAGGCCCGCCGCTATTACAAGTTATAGTTCATTGGACTGCAGGGGGTGCTGGGAAGGAGGCAGCTTGGGCTGCCCCTGGGCTGCCTCTGTCATTTGTCTCCTCCTTTCCCAGTGGTGGGCACTGCCCCATTAGGCCTGGCTCAGCCTCTGCTGCTCCCAACCAGCCTGGGGGCTGAGTAGATTGGCTGATGTGTTCCCTCACCCTGACCACCTGCCCCCAGCTCCATGCTTGGAGACGAGAGAGAGAGACAGAAAGACAGAGCTCGGGGCCATGGAAAGTAGAGGGGGTCAGCTCTGGCTCTGCCACTTACTAACTGTGTGATCCTGAGCAAATTGCTCAACATCTCTGTGCCTCAGTTTACTTCTCTGTAAAATAAGGACGAAGGTGTTATGACAGTGAAAAGCGCCTCTGTGACCACGCGTAGCACAGCACAGGCACGTGATAGGCTCAGTAAACGCTCTCTTCTGTCTGTCCTGGCTGCCCACGAGCCCGCATTCCAGGGAGGGGAGGGCGGAGCGGGAGAAAGCGGGAAGGACTCTGCTTCCCTCTCTCTGTCAGCTCTTCCCTCCTCCCCCCTCTGCTTTCCTCAGAGCAGCAGAACCTTTCCATGTCTCAGGATGGACATGGGCACAATGAACTGCATTTCCGCACTGCCTGACAGGTGAGCTCTGGAGGACAGGTCTCTTGACACAAGTCTCCACAGCATTTTCCTGCCTTCCCCCTCCTCCCTCCATCTTCCCCACCTTTGGGCTCATCCTCACCTGACTGCCTTTACTCTGAACCTGCCACGGGCTGGGTTTCCATCAGCTACAGGAAGAAGTGCTACTAGAAAAAGCCCAGGCCGAGGAACTGGCCCTGCTCCTCCCAGCTGGGTGCATTGGACACGGTCCGTGGCCTGTCTGAGCCTCCCTGACCTTTAAGATGAGAAGAATACCCCTCACGGGGCAGTTAGGAGGAATGATGAAGTGACATTCCTAACGCCCCTAGTTCTGGCACCTTCTTTCCTTGTCCTTCTGTCCTTGTGCTACATCCCCAGAAATGCCCCGTTTCACTCCATGCAAAGGCGGAGGGATCCCGCTTGTTGTCAGGCTGCAGCTTCAGCGCCTCCTGACTTCACTGGGGCATCATGGCCTGTCACCGGCTGCTTCCTCCTGCAGGGTGGTGGCCACACTAGTTGTCCAGCCTTGGCTGGAGCCAGTGCCTCACCCTTCTCGGTTTCCCTGCCCTTCTCAGCCCTCCAGCCCCTGTCACCAGACCTGGAAAATGACATGCTTTGCATTGATTTTTCTCAGCCACCCCCATTCCCTCCCTGCCCTTCCTCTCCACGGGAACCCTCTGCGAGGCAGAGGAAGAGCCCAGAGGTGGAAGCCGTCCTCCCTTCTCATACGTCCGGCCCTTTGGGGTGTTTGGTCTCTGGTTTAACAAGTTCAGCCATTTTTCTTCAGAGAGTAAGAGATTCAGAGAAAGAGGGGTGGAGACAAAGAATGACAGAGGCAATGAGATCAGATGAGCCAGAGACTCAAAGGAAGCTAGAAAAAGAAAGACAAAGCAAAGGGGGGCAGGCGGAGAGAGAGGCAAGTCAGAACAGGCAGCACCTCTCTTAGCAGCCACCTCTGGCCTCCCCTGGCCTCTGCCCCCACCAGCCCTGCCTCCACAGCCCCAGCTGACCCGCGGCCCTGCAGCCACCATATCAACTGTGAGTGATGGCTCCCTGGTGGAGGTGACAGCCCCTCGCTCAGCGCGACGGGGCAAAGGCCTAAAACTCAGGAGCTGGGATGAGTAGCCTGGTGGTGCTGGCGGGGGACTGACGGGCTGCCCGTGGGGAGCCGAGACCCTGCCCTCCTTGCTCCTGGGTCTGAGAAGCCTTTCAGGGCACCCAGGAGCCAGCCTCAGAGCCCTGGCTGAACGTTAACTCCGCATCTATTTCCTGCTCTGCCTTCCCTTCCCCCTCCCTCTCCCCTCCTTTGTCTCCCTGTCTTCGATTTCCTATTTGAGGACAGTTCCAGCCTGTGCCACCGCTGAATCCCTGGCCTCTGTAACGAGCGCAGGCTGTTTTGAGCCTGTGAGTCAGAGGCCAGTGCTGGTTTTTATGAAAGGCAGAAGGAGAATAATCTGATTTTATAAACGCAAAGCACCGTGGTCCAAGCCAAATGTTCCATGGGACAGCTAACTGCCTGAGATGGTATTTACAGCACTGCATATACACATGAGAGCCTCCACCCCCTTCCCCGCCTCTGGTGGGAGTGTCAAAGCTGCGTGGGTTGGTTGGTTGGTTGGTTTTTTTCCTGGCAAAATGTTTCTAGGTCACTTCCATCCTCCCCCACGGAGAGCTCCCATGCAGGAAACGCTATGGATTCCATTCTAGTCCCTCAGCCTCCATAACTAATGGGATCACTGGAAAGCCACCAAGAGGATGCTGGGGGCGAGGGGTCTTATGTCTCTGCTCTTCGGATGGAGAAGCTTCTAGCTGGGTGAGAAGCTGAGCCCAGCCAGGCCCCGGGGCTACTTCTGCTGCCGACACTGATCCCAGCTCCCTATGTGCCCACCTGGGGCTGGCAGTCCTAGGGCCTCTTTCTCTCCCTACCCCACCACCCTCCGGAGCTGTCTCTTCCTATAATTCTCTTCTTGTCGAGTCTATTAGCCTTCTCCAGCAGGCTCTGCCAAGTTCAGCTGCATCTCCTTGTCTAGGTTATATTAGAAGAGAAAGCTCTGGCGTGTTTTCCCCTCACCTGAGGAAAGAGATGCTTCTCTTTTTCAAGACACTCATAGCCTTTGATGAAGCCCAAGAAAGGCTCAAATGATCATGAAATGCTGTCGTTTGGAGATGAGATTGGCCAAGAGCGCTTCCAGCTGCCTTGTGAAAACAGCTTGGCTCTCCAGCAGAGAGGCAGCCGGGCCCAGGGGCCTGCCCTGTATGCCTTTTGCTGGCCTGTTTGCAGCTGGACTGCTGCCTGTCCGTTGCAGTAGCCCGCCCATGCAGTAGGCTCCCGACTGGTCTCCCTACCGCCTGTTCTCCTTTCCTCCCCCAATTTGATTCTTCTGGCTCTGATCACATCCCTTTCCTCCTCCTAGGCCTTCAGTGGCTCCTAAATTCCCGGTTCAAATACCCTCTCCCCTCCTTCACAAAGCCCTCCTCACACCTTCCAGGTAGGATGGACTACATCATCTATCTGACCACTATATGACCATGTCTATAGTCCAGTAAAAAACCCACTTCACTCTTTCTGCCTGGGATTATCATTATCTATATACTTGATAGAAGAGAGATAAAACAGCCCCTGTGAATAAAGGCCCACCACGTGCCAGGTACAGATGGGAAGCTACCTTGGAGGCATATGGATCTGGGTTCATACCCTTGCTCTGCCAATTACCAGCTCAATACCCAAGGGCACGTTCATTCACCTCTTTGAACCTGCTTCCCCATCTGTAAAATGGGACTAATGATACCTACCTCGTAGAACTGCTATGGAGGTTAAAGAAGGTATAACTGACGTTCTGGACACATCATGACTGCTGGATAAACAGTGTCCACACTGCTTTGCTTTTTATTCCTCATAATGAAAAAGGTATTATTAGTCTGATTTTATGGATGATGAAGTGGTTCTCAATCATGGCTGTGTTTCAGCCATGGGGCACTTTTTAAACTACAGATGCTGGAGACCCACCCCCCAGACTCTTCCTGGGGTTTAGCCCCAGTGTGTTTGGTCAAAGGCCCCCTGTCTGGACAGGACGGGAACTGCTGCCCAAGGTGCTGAAGAAGCAGATGCCCAGGCAGGACCTGGTTGCCTTGGGGGAAGAGCCCAGGAGAGGAGCGTCTTCAGGGGTGGGGAGGACTGTGGGCGGGGCCTGGAGCCTGGGCTTTGGAGTGAGCCCAGGTCAGTCCCTCACTGTCCAAACCATTGATCCACAGGGATGGAGTAGGAGGAGTCAGGCACCTTCTTGCTGTCGTCCCTGGGCACACCCAGCGTAACGGGTGTCTCGGGTCTGAGAGGGTGGGTTGGCCTCAGGGAAAACCAGGCTATCTCACTTGCCCAGAAACAGGCTGGCGACCACAGCATCAGTCTTCTAGTCAAGGAGGGGAACTCAGGAGAAGCAGGAGCTAATTGAGGTTGTCAGGAACAAAAGCTCACTCTCCACCGCCAAGAACAGAAAGGAGAAACACTCCAGGGATAATTAACTTCTTACAAGATGGCTGGTGCCATGGGTCTTACAGCTGCCCGGGGTCTCACTCCATCTTCTAAGAGGAGATTATTGTGGTCAAGAGAAAAACACTCTCAAACAGAACAGCCCCTTCCTTTCGCCAGTCACATGCTTGTTCACCTGTTCCATCATGAATAAACGTGAGTCAAGCACCAGACTCTGTGCTGGGGACTGGAAACATACATAGCGGTGATCAAAGGAGAGCGTTTCCTACCCTCGTGGATCTCAAAATCACTCTTT